ATATAATATTTAAATATTCAGTTTTCTGATAGGATAAATTTTCACAAAAGTGGGTGATAACTCTGTAAAGGAAGGATTAGGATGAAAAAATATTTAAATGTACTTGCATGAGATTTCATCATAATGAAGCAGTTTATTTTAATTGGTATGTGTTTCTGTTGGAGAATGGTTTAAGGCGGCTAATTGTTCAAAGAAGCATTATCAAACATCTTAGTTTGCCTAGGGCATTTCCAGTTTGTTTGTTGTCCTGGCATTGACTGTGGTTTAACATTTTAGTTTGACTTTAAAAAATGAAGTCAGCCTGGGTTTAATAAGCCTCCACTCGGTGCTTGTAGCTTCTTTGCAGTCTCCTTTGGAATGTGTGAAGTTGACATGTGCATTGAACAAAATTTTTTGATGAGGTTTAGGGGTGATGGTGGGGCTCGTGGGGTTCAGAGCTGATGGCCAAGAAAGAATTCTTGAAGAAGTCTTTGGTGCAAAAAAGATGATTTTATTAAAGTAAGGGGTCACTACCCCTGGGCAGGAAGAGCCAGCGGGGACCTTGAGGAGAGACTGACTATATACTTCAGAGTTGGGAGAGGGAAAGTCAAGTGGAAGTTTCCAAGAGATTTTCATATTAAAGAAGCATCACGGGATACTGGAGGCCTAGCTATTGGCAAGCTAAGGTTGTTTTTCCCCCCACAAAGTATTAACATTAAGACAGTGAGAGTTCCTGGAGAAATGTTTTACTCTGCCTGCCTCAAGTAGTTGCCAATGGGCTGCAGGCTATAAGGAAATTTAATTTTATCTGCCATTTCCTTCTGCCTTTTATCCCCACATCGCTGTGGAGAGGTGATGTTGGGGCTCCAGGATACTGAGTGAGTCTATAGGTTTCTGGAGATTAGGCTATCGATAATAAGATTAGACCTCTTTCTTGTAATTTACTAAGATATTTGTAAATTGATGGAGACCCTTGTCCTGCATGACTGTGATCTCTATCAGTTAACCATTTGTTTTTGCCCTTTCCTTTGTTCTTGGCCAGCCAGGAGTGCCTAAGAATATTACATATACCCCACCTGGGCATAGGAGGTGTTTGGGTCTGACAGTTTGCCTTATGTTCCCTCATCATTTTCACATAGTTAAGTCTAAAAGATAAAGCGGGATAACCTTTCTCTTTTCCCTCCCCATATCTCTGACTTTGAAGGACAGCATGTGGAAGACTTGCTGATAAGGGAGCTTGGAGAGAAGTTGCAAGGGGCATTGAACTCCCTCAGTTCAATGGTTGGGGAAGTCTGCAAATGCGCAGCCCCTAGGAGCTACTTGGTGTACAGTGGCTGGAGCTGCCTTTGAGTGACAGTGAACCTTCCAGACGGCCACTTAGCTAGTTGGTAGTAGGAAATGGGAAGTTGTAAGTCAGGTAGAATAAGTGACAAAAATAGAGATTGAGCAGTTCTGCTTAAAAATTATTCATTGTTGCTATAATGATTTTTGTCATTTATTATATGCTGTAAGTTTACAACTAATGTTTTTATTGGCAATGCCTCTTTTAAACTTTGTAACAATTATAATTACATATTTAATTATTTTATTATCCCTTTTCCTTCTTCAGTGTCCTGGTTTAGACAATAAATGGTTACCCTGCTTATAATTCAGGCCAAGTTAAAGAACTATGGGATATAGCAGAGACACAAAATTAGGCCTCTGAGACTGTTCAGCCTACCCTAGAATGGCTTTTAAGTTTTAAAAGGTTGAAAAAAAAAAACAACAAAAACAAAGAAGCATGTATGACAGAGACTTTATGAGGCCTTGTCTGAAATATTTATTGTCTGGTTCGTTACAGAAAAACTCTGACTGTGTCTGGTTTAGAGTCTATGGTAAGTACATTGGAAGGCTACTTAGGCATAGTAGTTTATCATGAACATAACTTTGTCTATTTTCCAAGTTAAAGTGAGGATTTAGAAGTTACTTATATTCTCGTTGGTTGAGTGTTATAAATGTGTTATGTAGCATTCTTTAGCCAGGTTCTAATTTGTGACCTCTTTCTAGAGGAGAGGTTCTTACAAGGTAGTCGGTGAGGTTTACTGAGACCCTTTCAGGAGGTTTATGAGGTCAAAGTTATTTTATAATAACAGTACAATGTTATTTTCCTTTTTCAGCATATTGATATTTACACTGATGGTACAAAAGCAATGGTGGGGGCTTTAGCACAGATCAAGGTGTAGCAGTGAGACACACAGAGAGTTGGGACACCCAGGCTTTTCTTTCCAGAAAGCAGCTTTATTCAAGCTAACACAGGATCAGTCGGCTAAGACCCAAAAGGCTGAGCCCCGAGTGCTGTGGCGGGTTGCCTTTTGTACAGTTTTTGCTCCTTTGTCTCCCATATGTGGTAAATACAGTCTGAAAGGGCAGCCTGTGTTACAGAGTCCTGAGGAATATTGTCCAGGCGCACACAGCAAGGTTGCCTTCCCTTATCTTGAGATTTTCGCCACATTCCTTAGGGAGGGACTCTAAACACAAAGGTAGTGGCACAAAACTTTCGAAGTTGTTAATTATACCCTTCATTATCATGTACTCAAAGAAGCAAAAACCAGTCTCACCTAAAAATTCCTTGAGAAAGCAGTACAAAATAATTACATTTTAACCTCTGTGTACATACCTTTTTTGTTTGTTTCAAATTGTTATTTAAATTCTAGTTAACATATAGTGTAGTAATGGTTTCAAGAGTAGAATTTAGTGATTCATCATTTACATATAACACCCAATGCTCATCACAAGTGCCCTCCTTAATCCCCATCATGTAAGTCCATCTCCCTAACTGCTTCCCTTCCAGCAACCCTCAGTTTATAGTTAAGAGTTTGTTTTTTGGTTTGCCTCCCTCTCTTTTTTTCTTTTATGTCCATCTGTTTCATTTCTTAAATTTCATATATGAGTGAAATCATATGGTATTTGTCTTTCTCAGATTGACTTATTTCACTTTTGCATAATACACTCTATTCCATCCACATCATTGCATATGGCAAGGTTTTGTTCTTTTTGGTGGCTGAGCAACATTCCACTGTATATACATACAACATCCTCTTTATCCATTCATCAGTTGTTGGACATTTGGAGTCTTTCCATAATTTGGCTGTTGATAATGGTGCTATAAACAGTGGATGCATGTGCCCTTTCAAATCATAGTTTTATATCCTTTGGGCAAATATCTAGTAGTGCAGTTGATGGGTTGTAGTGTAGTTCTATTTTTTCCAGAGGGGCTGCACCAGTTTGCATTCCCACCACAGTGCAAGACAATTCCCCTTTCCCCATATCTTTGTCAACATCTGTTGTTTCCTATGTTGTGAATTTTAGCCATTCCTTTTTAATTTAACGTGTGATGAAATGGAAAATATGCATAAAGCACTACTTCTCCTGATGGTTTTCTTTAGGATAATCTTACATGTAAGCTAAGTTGTGAGTTATAAACTAGTCTCTTTTTGTGAACTGCCATTTTCCTTCGAAGTATAACTGACAAACCATGGTTATTGGCAGATGTTTTCTCAAAAATCAAATAGAGTGAGTGTATTAACACTTTAAGAAAACAACTGACTATATGTTTTTGCCAACAATACAACTTGAACTTTAAGTCAAAAATTTGAATTTTGAAATATTTCTGTCTGCCACCAAAAGTTTGATAGCTTTGCAATACTTAAAGACTTTTCTAAAGATAATCATGGCATTTAATAAATGTAACTTTTAAAAAATATTATATAATGAAATGTGTCAACAGATATTTTGCAAATGACCAATGTATGATGCAGAATCATGCCTGCATTTAAAGATCCACTTAAAGCATAAGACAAGGGCACCTGGCTGGCTCAGTCACTGGAGCATGTGACTCTTCATCTTGGGGTCATGAGTTTGAGCCCCCTATTGAGTGTAGAGATTACTTAAAAATAAAATCTTAAGAAAAAGTAAAGTGTAAGACAAATTTTAATGTGAGTACAAAATGTTCATTTATACTTTATTGCAACTAACCATAAGACACTACCACTTGTCTTATTTTGGGTCCTAATAAAAAAAGAATATAAGTATCTAAAAAATTTTAAAATACTTCCTGTTTTTCTGACCAGTTATCTGTGTGAAGCTGGATTCTTTTTCTCTTTCTTTCTTTCCTTCTTTCCTTCTTTCCTTCCTTTCTTTCTTTCTTTCTTTCTTTCTTTCTTTCTTTCTTTCTTTCTTTCTTTCTTTCTTTCTTTCAGAAGTTTACTTATTTTGAGAGAGAGTGAGCATGAGAGAGCAGGGGAGGGACAGGGGGAGAGAGGGAGAGGGAGAGAGAGAAAATCTCAAGCAGGCTGTACTCTGCCAGCACAGAGCCCGATGCAGGACTTAATCTCATGAACCAGGAGATCATGACCTAAGCTAAAATCGAGAGTGGGATGCTTAACCAACTGAGCCACCCAGGGATCCCTGGATTTTCTTAATATATTTCAACAAAAACAGTAGCAATATATTTTTTAGAAATGAATATAGAAGTGGCAGTGAGATTCTGGCTGTCTTCTAGTAAGCCAGCCATTAAAGAAATATGTAAAAGATGTAAATAATTATTGCTTTTCTCATTAAGTTTTATGTTATTATTTTGGAAAATATTATTTTTTAATAAAATATTTATATTAAATGTTTTTATTTTTAAGTGAATTAACATATGAAAATTTTCTTTTTAAATTACTTATATAGTGAATATCAATAGATATAATCCACAGAAACACAAAGGTCACTAGAGCCTTCTATATTTTTAAAAACGTAAAGGTCCTGAGACCAGAAGTTTTAAGAAACTGCTCATAAGGGGTTTAAGTAATCACTTCTTCAGGACATTGAAATATATTGCTGTAAATAGTTTTATGAATAATTAAGCATAAAACTATCTCATTTAAAAGTTTTTTTCATTTATTGCTACAATATGATAATTTCATCAGCTAATTTTCTTTTTTTTGTCACATAAGAAAAATATTTTTAATGTTTTTCTTCTTTATCAATTCTCACAGCAATGCTGGGGTAAAAACAGCACTAGTAGAGACTCATTCTGAGATGGGGAGCACTGAAATTCTGGAAAAGGAGACCTCAGAAAGTCTCAGTAATGGTACCAGCAGCAACGTAGAAGCAGCCAAAAGGTTGGCCAAACGCCTTTATCAACTAGACAGATTCAAAAGATCGGATGTCGCAAAGCACCTAGGCAAGAAGTACGTTCTGTACCAAGGCTGGTGTCTGAGTGTGTCCATGTGTGTGTCTTTTTTAATAGCTTCAACTTTAATAACAAAGTCTATCCTGTTTTCTTATAGCAATGAATTTAGCAAACTAGTTGCAGAAGAATATCTGAAGTTTTTTGATTTTACAGGAATGACACTGGATCAGTCTCTCAGGTATGATTAAATATCACTTCTGTTCTTTTTTGCCTCCAAAAATTAATTCTGAGAAGACAAGTAGTGCTGAAGCTTATGTGTGATTTTTAATTATTTTAAAATCCATGGTGACTTTGTAATCTTAGCTCAGATTATACTATAGTTATTACACATAGTAGAAATAAAAATACATTGTTTTTATGAAATCACACATGAACTCATACTTTTCATCTAGAAGATGATGTAGTAAAGAATAGTGACAAAGTGAGTCTTGAGGAGAAGTAGAATCTGTGGGAATTTAGTTTTTGAATGATCAATTAAAAAGAAAACACAGTTTTACAGACGGTAGAATTTTAAATTTTTCCCCCTAAGCATTTGTTTACAGTGGCCAAATAGCCTTTTAAGATGATACTTTGGTATTAACTCAGAAATGGAATAAAAACAATTATCAACATAATAGTAGAAAATACCTGTAAAACTGTTTCAGCACTTTTTGCTGATCTGTTCAAAATAGTGTCATAAACACACTGATCCTCGCTTTTCACACCATTATTGTACTGTAAATTTCTAAGAGCTGCTAGTAAAAGTAAAACTTAGTCAGCATTTACTGTTATAAACTTTTTAACATGTAAGAGGTTAGAGGAATTCTGAGATGATCTGTGTAACCCTCTAGTTTTATAAATCAGGAAACTGCACCTTGGGAGGTGAAGTGAGGATGTTTGGATTAGAATGTACAACAGTGACCTACTTATTCTGTGGCACTTTGCATGAATTGATGATATGCATAGGTTTTTCCACTGAAAACAAGTAAGGGCAGAGGAAAGATCAATACTTATGCTTTACTTTCTGATATGGTTTATAAAAGACAGTTATGAAAAATTAAAGTGTGATCAATGCAATTTAGATTTAACAAACTAAGTAACATTTTCATGTAAATAAGATTTTGTGTATGTTTCTTTCAATAGTAAGATTTTTTTAGAACATTTTAAAGGACTGTTTTTTCTTTTCATCTCATACTTAGGGAAGTGCTTTGTCTAGTGAGGATCATCTGAGTTTTTCCATAATAGACAGTACTCTTAGTGATTCTGATTTAGGTTGGTGTGTTGTTCTGGGCATATTTTATTTTTCAGAGAATTTTGATACATAATTTATTCCTAACCCAAGGAATAATTTAGTGTTAGCTCCCAATTTCCTTCTCATATAAAAAGTAATAATATAATGTGATAATAGGCTAAATAAAATAAGAGAAATCTACTATACACAAAATAATATACTTGTAATTTTAACAATGTGTCAGTGGCAAGTATAATCATATACCAAAATGATACAGTGTTTCATGTATAGTTTTAATACATAGCCTGCATGGTTGTAGGTTCCCTCTTAAGTGTTCTTTGGTTTTTATCTGACTAACCTTTTAAATGGCTACTTGTCATTTAGTCATATGGGGAAGTTACTATGTTCCCAAGGCTTTTCTTAGCTACCATGGTATTGTTATTGCCTCGTCATCTTTATATTGATGTTTCATAGAATAAAATAAATATATATTGAATGGCTATATAGTAAGTGATTTTACAAAAATACTATAGAACATCTTTGTACAATTAATTTCTTTTTTTTTTAAGTTTATTTATTTATTTATTTTGAGAGAAAGAGAGAGAGCTAGCAGGGGAGGGTCAGAGAGAGAATCATAAGCAGGCTCTGTGCTGTCAGCGCAGAGCCCAGTGTGGGGCTCAGTCTTACAAATCATGAGATCATTACCTGAGCTAAAATCAAGAGATAGATGCTTAACAGGCTAAGCCACCAGACACCCCTAATTAATATCTTACTATATATGAATTAATTTTATTTTATTTTCATTAAAAAGATTTTTTTTTTTGGAGACAGAGGCAGATAGAGCATGAGTGGGGGTGGGGCAGAGAAAGAGGGAGACACAGAATTTGAAGCAGCTCCAGGCTCTGAGCCGTCAGGACACAGCCTGACATGGGGCTCGAACTCACGAACTGTGAGATCATGACCTGACCAAAGTTGGATGCTTAACCATTTGAGCCACCCAGACACCCCTATATGAAGTAATTCTAATTGTCAAACATAAAAAGTATGGTAATGTTCTCTAAAGTTTCACTTTTTTCCCCTTAATTCTTTTTTAGGTATTTCTTTAAAGCATTTTCTCTTGTGGGAGAAACTCAAGAACGAGAGAGAGTTTTAATACATTTCTCCAATAGATATTTTTACTGTAACCCAGACACTATTGCTTCACAAGGTAATCTGATGGAAATGTTTGTATTTCAAAAAACAAAGGCTATTTTTCTCATTATGAAAGTTATATTTTATTGTGGAAAATATGGATTAGTATACAAAAGAAAATGAAACTCTTCTAATTGTCTGGAGATAACTATTATTAACTGTTTGATTTATTTCCTTCTAATCAGTTTGTGAAATATTTAATGTCAAATTGGAGTCATTAAAGAGTTTTGTTTCCTGTTGTCTTTCCCTTTGTGAGCATTTTCTCATGTCATTGGATATTCTTTTAAAAGCATGATATGTAATGACTGCATGGTATTCCTTACTGTTCTTTTAATTAAATTTTACTTAGTTTTCCAGTTCCATACTATGACAGGATGCTCTAAGTTGCTCATGCTGTCACTCTGAGATTTTACATGCAAAGCACATTTTAAAAAATGAAATGCTAGTTTTCTTATTTCTTCTTCCTATGCATCTGACTCTAGACCCCTTGAAATGCATGTATGCTTATTAATTTTGTGGTTAGTTTTGAAAACATTTACAAATCTCACTGGATATGTGGTGTGTCTCCAGTGTTTGGTTTGATATTCATTGTAACATCACTGAGCACTGATTTTGGTTTATGATTTTAATGAACTATGAGTTCATACTTATTTTGCTATTTTTAAAAAGCAATTTTATTTAATTGTTGATGTACTCTATCAAGAGAGGTTTTTCCTCTATGTCAATTCCTGCAATAAAGCAAAGTTTTCACCGTTTGAAGTTAGGTGCTTTCATTTGCAATTGGAGAATCTTTCATAAACACAAATTCTGGAATAGGTCACTAGGACTAGATGTGTTAGAAATGGCAGTTATCTCTGAGCTTCAGTATTGCTGGTTAACTGGGATAAGTATATGTGATATTGACTAAAGCGATTATCCCCAGGTCTCTGGTCTCTACCCGCCAGGCTATAGCTAAAGTAACTAACCATCTGGTCATTAAAGTCACACTCTTCTCTGTAAAAAGGGAACTTAATTTTCTTTAGTCCTTCCTTTCATTATATTTAGACCATTTATTCACTTTCTATTATTGTCCTCACTGAGTGTAGAGTGAAAGCGATAAGAAAAGAGTTGTTTCTATTAAAACCTCCTTTATATCTAGTAAGATGTTGGCAGTCCTCAGTGAAAGAAAGAATATGGATGTGTACCCTCAACTGGCTATCGATAAGGATATTTGAGAGTTGGCTGCTGAGTTTTGTAGATGCTTTTAATGAATTTGTTTTAAATGTATTTAAAATTTAATAATAATAAGCTGGAAGTGGAATAAATTTACTTTTGGGCATTTGGTAGCATCTCCTTATCGACATTAATAACAGAAATCACGTACTGTACTCAAAGGCAATCTTTGAAAAATAAGCTATCTTTTTAAAAAGATTTTTTTATAAAGTTTATTTATTTTGAAAGAGAGAGAATGGGGGAGGGGCAGAGAGAAAGGGAGAGAGAGAGGATCCCAAGCAAGCTCCATACTGTCAGCACAGAACCCAATGCCTGGCTGAATTCACAAACTGTGAGATTGTGACCTGAGCCTAAGTCTAGAGTCAGACGTTTGACTGAGTCACTCAGGCACCCCAAAATAAGCTATCTTTCATTCATGAATTCGGTAATTAGAAAGGCCTTTCTGTACATTTGACATCCATTAGTAAGATCTTTCTGCATCTGCAACTGCTATGATCAAGTATACTTGGATTGAGACTTGCAAGAAAAGAGTAAGTATTTCTAAGACTTGGAAATGAAAGCTTAATTCTTATTGTATTGCCTTTTCCTTTATAAAGTAAGAAGAGAGACCAATGTTTCCATCTAAGTGTAAAATGATCCTTCTGGTATGGACACCATTTTTTTTCCTGAACATTTAATTTTTTAATCTTTTCAAATTATTCCAATATTGTAGTTTTGTCTGATCCATAGTATCCTGGACCAGTAACCTACATGTTACCTTTAAAGAATTGTCAAGAAAGAAGATAACTGTTGCTGCCTATGTTGTTTTAGCCAGAGAACTAATACCCAGTCAGTACAATGAAAGACCCAAATCTTGGTTTCCTTTAACTTCTGCTTCTTTCTTAATTTACTTTCTTCTCAGAGAGTAAAAATAAAAAAAGAATAGTAGTAAATAGTTTATTTTCATTTCTGTATCTTGTTATAAAAAATTAAGAAAATATAAATGAAAATACAAAAATTATCTTACTATCCAGAGACCATAATCTTTTAATATTATATTATATATTATTCTAGATATGTTTATATTTAAATGAAACTATACTGCATATATTGTGTTTTTCATATAATAATTTACTGTGAAATATCTTTCTATTTCAACATTTATACTTGGACAACATTTTTAATGACTTAAAATAGTTATATTTTTGGAGGGTTTTGTTTACTGTTCCCCATTGTAAGCAGTGTTTCTTTGGATATCCTTGTATTTTGTATAGATTCTTATGTCCTAAGTGTAAAGCCCTGTAAGTGGATTTACTGTGTCAGAAGATACTGTTTCAAAGTTTCCAATATGTACTGTCAAATTCCCCTCCAGAGAGGTAAGAATAATATACTTTGTCAGCAGTAGAGTCCAACTTTGTTACTGAGGTCCCTTTAGTAATTTATTTTTATCTATTTTTTGTCTCCTCAAATGTGATGAATTGTGCCTAGCCACATTATGTGTTTTCATAGGTTCTTAATGTAAGGAGCCCAACAGGAAATAGTGAGTTAATACTTTTTTTTCCTTCTCTCTCCCCTTAGATGGAGTCCATTGCCTCACCTGTGCAATGATGCTTCTTAACACAGATCTCCATGGCCATGTAAGTGTAGGTGTGTGAAGCTGTCTTATAGAAATTAAATTGTCGTGGACTTATCTTTGCTTTTGTGTTCATACACATTTATTCTCTGCCACCCTTTTCTCTCATTCTCTACATGACAGGTAGGTAAACATAAGTCTTTAAGTAAGTAGAAATGACTTACTTTATATGCCAGCATAGAGCTTAGTTTTAAGCAAATACAATATTGTGTACGTGTCTGGAGTTGTTTTATCTGTAATATGTGTGTTCTGTATCTTCTTTCTCCAGTAGATGGCAGAGGCAGAGCTTTTACTTGTTTTGTTTTTGTTTTGTTTTGTTTTGTTTTGTTTTGTTTGTTTTTGGTTACCTATTAGAGTTGATATATGATGGAAAGGTTATAAGTTAGAAAATGTTGACTGTGTTTTCACTAAATACAGTAATGAGTCCTAAGAACTCAGCCTTTTCTACATTTCTCAGCTCACCTAGTCTTTTAACAGTTGAAATATCAAAATGCTCTAATTACTTTCTGTTCTTGTATTTAAGATGTAGAATGAACTTAAGTTTATAGTTAGAAACAGACTTACCTTTTAAAGGATATGGAATTTTAGCATTTACTTAAACTTTATATTAAAGAAAATGAGAATGCTTTAGCTTAATATAGGCCAATGTATACTTACTTAGCACAAAATTTTTTTTATAGTCTCCAGTCCATTTATTTTGAAAAGAAAACCAGGTTTCTTATAATTAAAAATCTAGATCATCCCATGATTTGCTGTATGATTTATCTTATAATTAAAAGAACTAAAACTTAGTTTTCAATCCAATTTCGTTTTCCCATTTGAAAAGGCCGCATAATTTCCTTAAGGCAAAATGGAGCTCTCTGAGGCCATTAAGATGGACTGAAGGGAAAAAAGTGTTCTACCTTCAGAAGACTGAAGAGGAGATGTAGTTAGTGATAGTTAATTTAACACTTCCTTCATAAATCTCACAATACTCAACTAGGAAGTTCCTTTTGCAGTTTGCATCAGGTTAATTTAGAATAACTTAGTGACTAGTAGACATATATAACATGTGTCCAGAGATGATACAGATTAAAAATATAGATACTTTCAGGGGACATTTTGGGACAATAGCACTGTAATACATCTTATGGAAATGAAGGTACTAGTGAGCCTTGAAATGAGGATCAGAATCTAAACTCATCCAGCTTGCTATAGGAAGGACCAATCAGTGGATGGTCCTGACCTCTGCTTTCCTCTTATCAGTGAAGCAGGTTTTCCCTGCTTTCTTCTCTGCTAGTCTTATGATAACCGTTGCAATTCTGTCCCCTTCTTTCCTTGCACTCAATTTCTCAACCTAACTTCAGCTGAAAGAGACAATTTTGAATGCTCTTGTCCACATATAACTTTTGTACAAATCAGCGAGTCCCAGCATGAGGGATCTTCTTCACATGAGTTATTTTGAGGTCCTATCCAGATATGATGGTTGTACATTTAGTATCTGTTGACTGAGAAAATGTGTGATGGAAAAAAAAAAAAAATTCTTATTTAAAAGTTGAGGATCTCATAGAACTTCTATGGAAGTCGCTAGATCTGAGATTGGTCTATTAAAAGCTAAATTACCTTTTAAAAAGCTGATATTGCTTTAATAATACTTTCAAATAAATATATAACTTATTAATCACAATAATTTGAAACATAGGAGTAAATAAAGGCCTGAGGTTTATTATTTATTCAGATAAGTCAGCATGCTTGATACCCAAACCAGACACGGGCACCCTAAGTGTCTATAGCCCATTGGTTCAGAACCATAGATCTTGGATTTGCTCTTGCTCTGTCTTCAGACCTCTTTTGAATAATTGAAAAGAGATTAAATGAAGCATCACTCTTCTTTTTGGCAACTAGAATGTAAGAGTATATAAGTAAGAGACAGCATACAAATGAACAGTTTATTAGCTTGAATTATACCAGTCATACATAATTAATAATTGACTAGTGGCAGAATTACAAATAAGAAGGAGAATATTATAAGTACAAGTAAATATCCGTATATCCTCAAAATTGTGTTTTTAATGATTATTAGTTCTTAGCTTTGTTTTTGATGTATGCTTTATACTTAGGGTTGTCTGTTGTTTAGGTTTTGTATATTAGAGAGTTTTTAATCCTTATTTACAGTGCATGCTGTTAAAAGTCTGTTAAATAGATAGTAGTTATTATAAGAACTAACCATACAAAAATGTGTTTCTCTTACCTTCCAACTCTGGATTCATTTTAAAAATAAATTTTCCTTCTAGGTGGTAAGTTTTTAGCCATAATTCTGGATGTAGCTTCTCTTGCATCATGATTGCCTGATTTATTGTTACCATATTTGTTTGACTTATTAGCATGGCCCCTTTGAAGGTGAACCATTCAAAATATAAAGTGATGTATTTCTGATGTCTGCCCCTTTTCACCTTCCTAGGCTGTACTGCCTAGGCCATCATCTCTCATTACTCAGTCCAATGTCAGAATAATCCTCTTGGGGAGTAAACTAATAAACCTTTTTCCTTTTCTTTCTTACCATTGTGCCATGATACCAATACCACAGCATGACCTTTTTAAGAAGTACCAAGATAAGCATGTTCTCATGCTTTCAGTAGGGGAGCATACCTTGGGAATTAGCTTCTTTTGGCTGTAATTTGTGAATCTTCCTTGTGATTTTATTTACTCTAAGGAATGATACATTGAAAATGCGCTAATATGGACCTTTATTCTCCTAACTTTCTTACTAATAAAACGATAGGATGTATACTAATGTAATTAATATAGTGTTATATGTTGGAATGTCTATCTTTCTATTTCTAATTTACTCTGTCATTCAACAAACTCTCATAGTGTGTCTTCTCTATCCAAGTTCTGTGCCATTTGAGTAAGGATGGGAAATGAATGAGATGTTCATGGAAGTCATATCTCATTTCTGGTAGTGTTGGCTAGGCTTACTTCCATTAGTCCTTTTAACTGAAGAATGGTAGCAGGTAAATGAGGTGCTAAGGTGGAAAAACACTGGGGAGGTATTTTAATTATACATTGGATTATTGAACTTCACTAATATGTAAGCTAGGAAAAAAACAATCTAACATATATGCAATATTTTGGGGAGAAATTAATTCATATGTTACAATTTCATTGGAGCTAAAAATGCTGATTCCCTTTTGTACCTATTTTTTAAAAATATGAATGATGCATCATTATTTAAGCAATAGTATCGACTGGCTTTTATTTTTCTGCATGTGTTTTATTCTTTTAGGTAAAATAAATATTTTATAATTGTGGTCACATGGATAATTTGCTAAGTAATCTCTCTAAAATGCATCTTCATCTATGAAATATATATATAAATTAAACTTTTGCACATACAGATAAATCTCTGTTAAAACAAACTCTAGAGTTTAGTTTTCTCTTGCTATACCGAAACTAAGTTGTATTGCATGTTGTTTGAACTGTGAAAAAGGAAAGAGTTGAAAATCTGAAAATCTTTTTCTTTTTAAAGCCTTGTATTTTATTGGAAATACTATGAGCAAAAGGATTTTGTCATGTTAGAATAAGTTCAGACCTACTTATTTTCTGGACTAACCTTCAAATGTGCCTTTGGTACTTCCATCGTAGTTGAGATTCAGCCATCTTGCAGGATTATCACTGGGGCTGAAGGCAGGGGGCAGGCACAGAACAATAGGCAGGAACTTCTCACCAGAGCAGGACTCTGAGGTGGGAGGAAGTTTTAGATACAGATTGAGTTGTAATGAAGAGTAGGATAGATGAGCACACAATTAGTTGGTGAATTTCACAACTAATAATGGTAGGGGGGAGAAAATATCAAAGGGTAAAGCTAGTTTTTGTAATAGAATAATGCTAAACATATATGTGGAGTTCAGTTTGACATAGATCATAGGAATGCATTATTTTTCAATTGTAAACTCCATTGATAATAATGAGTTTTTAATTGGCTCTGTAGGATCATTGAATTTTACGTGTGGGTAAAATATTTGGTTTATTATCAGAAGTGGAAAATGACTATGGTAAGAATTGGTTAATGCTTTCACTTTTTATATTGTGCCTCAAAAGCACCACAAACTGCTAAGGTTGATAGGTAGTTAATATCCTTAAGAAATCTCTGTGTCTGTGATTATCATTTTTATAACTGACAGCTGCCCTTCAGTGAATTTTGCCTGCTGCTCTCCCTTTGTCTTCTCTATACCTCCTCTTCCTGTCTGCCCCACATCCTCGACACCCTCTGCCAGGAAAACCATCCCTGGCATTATTTGTTTCCTTATGTGAGTTTTACCCTGCTAGATTCTAGCCTCGTTCTTAATTTCCATTCAGCAAACACAGCCTCCTTCCCTTACCTCTTTTCCGCCTCCTTCCCTTACCTCTTTTCCACCTCCTTGGTGCCAAGTCTTTCTTTTCACCTCATTGGGAGCTCCCCAGCCACAGTGACTTCTAATGGGCTCTCAGTGATACTGAAAGTTCTTAGAAGCGTCAGGTCTAGACCTCAGAGTTGCCAAGGGTTTCTGGTGGGGCTCTGGGTTCGGTTTTACTGTTATTGTCTCTCATCAGAATGAGCGTTTGAGAGATAGCCTAAGAACCTTAACCATCAGCTGTGGAAATGTTTTTATAGAAAAACGTCTTGGTTTCAGATTTTCCAATTTTATTTTTTTTAACTTTTGAAATGTTTATTTTGAGAGAGAAAGAGAACAAGTAAGGGAAGGGCAGAGAAAGAGGGAAAGACAGAATCCTAAGCAGGCTTCACGCTGTCAAGGTAGAGCCCACATGGGGGTTGATTCCACAGACCACAAGATCAGGACCTGAGCCAGAATCAAGAGTTGGACGCTTAACCAACTGAACCACCCGTGCACCCCAGGTTTTTCAATTTTAAAATGACCTTTAAAATAACAATTGTCTGCTACTATAGTACTTTTCAGACTTTATGGTCTCAAGATCCCTTTATACTCTTGAATTTTTTTGAGGACCAAAGAACTTTTGGGTTTT